TCCTCCATTCTCCTCTCGGGATCTTGGGCACGCGCGCACACGTGCCCGGCGTGAGTTTAAGCCACCGGGTCCGGGACGTGAACCGCGGTCGACTACGTGGGAGTCCAGCGACATAGCCATTACACTAACTGCTGGTTCCCCCCACCACTTCTTAAACCCAGACAGGAAGTTAAGGTTTACGGGCGCCCAAGTTCGGTGCTCCAAGTTCCCAAAGGACTGTCCCGGACCGAAGAGCTGCTTCCCCCATCCACCCCTCTGGCCAGCGGAGGGTGTGTGCGCTCCTCGCCACTAATCCAAAGGGCTTTCTCAACGGTCCTGCGGCCCTCTCCAAATCGTAGGCTACGGTTAACTCCAAGTCCTTCTCTGCCCACAGGTCTGCATGGCTCCATGACCTGCGTGAGAGAGGAGACCCCTCGCCCCACCAGGGCCTGGTCACACTGCGATTCTTTTCCCTCCAGTTCTCCATCTAGTCAGGAACCGAGCACACCTGCACGTGCACCCTACGTGTTTTTTTAAGCTGCAGGGACAGGAGTTCAAATCCTGTTTGACCATGTGGGATCTGGCTTCCCCTGCACAGCGGTTAACCCCTGAGCAGTGGGGCCAGCCCTGGTGTAGTTTTCTAAAACAAATGTCCAGTTAGGGCCTGCAGGTGGCATGGTGGTGAAAGTTGCTCTGGACTCCCACATGGTTGACCATGGTTTGAGTCCCGGACCTGGAAGCTCACTTTCTCACTTTCTCTCTCTTTCTGTCCCTCTCTAGTCAAATTAAAATAAATAATAAATAAATAAATATATTTAAAAAAAACCAGCCACGTCATTTCAGTGCTTTGTAGCCACCCCTTGCTCTCAGCTGACGGAGACGAAGCCTGTCCTCAAACGTAGACCCCACCTATCTGGCCACTGCCTACATCTCTGCACTCACTTGCCTCTCCCGCAATAGTATTTATTTATTTATCTATTTAGGTTTATGCTATAGAGCACATGCATTTTCCAAAGAGAGACAGAGAGACACAGAAAGAGGAAAAGGAGGAATCAGCCCCCAAGGGGGAGATGGCCACGCTCGATCCCTCCTCCTCCATTCTCTTCTCTGAATGTTGGGCACGCACGCACATGCGCCCAGAGTGGTTATCGAGCAGGAGCTCAAAGTACAGTCAACCATCTAAGTCCAATGCCTTAGCCACTATGCCACCTGCTGGCCCATCTACAAGATTTTTTAAAGATTTATTCCATTTTATTATTTATTATTATTTTAATTTGGTATGTGTGCTCACCAGAGGGAGGGGCAGAGAGACAGAGAGAAAGCAAGCCACCAGGTCTGGGGCTCGAACTGTGAGTGGCCATGTGGAAGTCCAGTGCCTTAACCACCATGCCACTTACTGGCCCCACAATAAGTTTTTAAAGAATAAGTTTTATTTTTAAAAAAGAATTATTTAATTTTGTTTATCATCATCATTATTATTTTTTATAAATTTTGCTATAGGCAGGCCAGCAGGTGGTAAAGGGCACTGGACTCCCACATGGCCGACTGCAGTTCCTGTCCTGGACCTGGCATCTCACTTTCTCACTTCTCTCTCTCTCTGTCCCTCTCTGGTCAAATTAAAAGAAATAATTAATTAATTAAGTTAAATAAAATAATTCTTGAAGAAAATGTTGCTATAGGGCATGTGTGCTCACTAGAGAGACAGAGAGAAGTGAGAAAGTGAGATGCCAGGTCCAGGACAGGAACTGCAGTCGGCCATGTGGGAGTCCAGCACCTTAACCACCATGCCACCTGCTGGCACCTAAAGTATTGCTTTTAAATCCCACAATACCTGCAGGGATACTCCTTGTAGGAAATTCCAACGAGGATGAGACCGAAGTCACCCTGGACTTGAAGTTGGTCACGGAACTCTCTCACACGCTGCTTGTTCCGCCCCACACCCCACCCCACCACCCTTCTCCTGGCCAACTGCCTCTCATTCTCTCCTCTCCGCATGTCACCTTCTCCAGGAAGGCTTCCCTGACCTCCCACGTTAGCTGTCCTTGAGCTCGTGTTACTGGGTGCTACCCAGGCGTTTGTGGCGACAGGTCGTCTGGACAGAACTGGGGCTGTAGTGCTCCCGCCGGGAAGCCTGGGCCAGCACGGTTGACACAGTCTTCACTGACGGGCGATAGGATTGCTGTGCCTCCCCACGAGGTGCCCGCCTGCTTGCCTCTGCTGCCCCCCGCCCTTCCTCTGCTGCCCCCGCTCTTCTGCCCTTCCTCTACAAATCCAACACATTCCTGAAAGCTAGGCTCCTGGGCCCCTTCACCACCAAGCCCCCCAGCTCTAGATCCCGAGGAGCATCCAGTCCAAGCATCACAGACAGACAGGACCCCACTCGGGTGGGGTGGCAGAAGCCGCGCTGCGCCCCACCTGGTCGAGGACGAAGTTGGTGCGCAGAGCGATGGTGATGGCGTTGGTCACCAGCAGCACGGCCAGCAGCAGCTGGAAGGCCGGGTGGCGGAGCAGCTGCTTGATGTACATGCGGGTGATGAACTCCTGCATGTCCCAGGCGTCCTGCAAGGGGGCCCTGCTCAGGCAGGCGTCACCACTGGAGGCCCCTGCCTGGCCTTGCGTTCTCCAGGAATGGGGCCCCTGGGGGTTGGTCCACTCTTGGGGGGAGTTGTCTGAGAGGGGGTCGCAGAATGGGGACGTCAGTGTGGAGGTGACTTCCTAAATGGCCACTACAAGTGGGTTACTGCTGGGGGGGCTGCGTGGGTGCTGCTGCAAGAGAATCTCCCTTGTGGTCTCTGTGGTGACTCATCGTAGACGCGGTCCTGCGGGGGCACTGCCTGGCAGCGACCGACGGGCCCGGGGAGGGTCACGCCAGGGCTCCCTGCTGCCAAGGTTCCGGGGGCACCTGGAGAGGGCGCAGCTGCAGCGGCCCGCGTCCTGCGTCTTACCCTCTTCGCCATGATGTCCCGCCGGTTGATGAGCACCTGCTCCTCCGACCGGTTGTAGGGCTCATGAGTCCTCTGCAGACAGGGGGCTCAGTGCAGGTCCTTCTGTGCCCAGCCCCCCCTCCCGAGAGCCCCGCTTGGGCATGGAGCGGGGACCACCTACCGGGACATTCCAGTATTTGACAGGAGATGTGTCCATCCACTGCTGCCACCCGACCTTCTGGCTTTCCTCCATGAGTGCTCGCTCAGTCTCCTCCTGCTGAGGGGGAGAAGCAGCTTTGCTCCAAGCTGCCTGGCTCCCCTTCGGCGATATCACAGAGGCCTCTGTGACCTCCAGAATTTGGAATTCCACCCCGAAGAAGCTCCTCCCACTGCCACCTTCTGGATTCCACAGGGGGAGCCACGGTGCTGCAGGCTGCCAGGACAGAGGCCAGAGGCTGCTGGAGCCGGCCAGGCCCCCTGTGTGGCCCAGGTGGATGGAGTGACGGGGACATGCCCCCAGGCTGGGCCCAGCAGCTGGAGGTGAGGCTGAGTGAGGAAAGAGGGCTGTGTTTTAGCCCAGGGCAGACCTCGACCTGCACCTCTTCCCACCAGCTGCCTATCCACCTCCGCAGTCTGCCTGTGTGGTGTGTGTCCCCATCTACAAAACGTCAGGGTCTCAGCAGGCCCGGCGGCCTAATGGTTATGGGAGCCAGATCCCACATGGCAGACCACAACTTGAATCCCAACCCCCACAGCTTGAAAACTGCACTGGGCTGGGACCCAGCGGATGGTATAATGGTTACATTGTTGCACTCCCATGTAGTCGACCACAGTTCAAGTCACAGACCTAGCAGCTTAAAACTCACAGTGGCCGCTCTTGGGTGCGTGCCCAAGATCCTGAAAACGGAGGAGAAGGGATTGCTGCATGGCCATCCCTCCTGGGGGGTGATGTCTTGCTTTCTGTCCCTCTGGCGAGCACATACTCCCTATAACAAAAATCTCTTAAATAAAAACAAAAACACAACACACTGGGCTGGCCAGCAGGTGGCGTAGTAGTTCAGGCCCTGGATCCTTACATGGCGGACTGTTTTGAGTCCCTGATCTGGTGCTCGCTCACTCTCTCTCTGCCTCTCTGTGAGTGCACATGTCCTATAAGAAATTAAAATAATAATATTTAAATAATTCTTAAACAAAAACACTGGGCACGTGTCTGTGCATGCCTTGAATCCCAACAGGATAGAGAAATGGAGAAGGGATTTTGGCATAACCACGCCCCATTGGGGGTGCTTTCTTTCTCTTTCTCTTTGTCTCTTCCTCTCTTTCTCTGGAGGGCACACAAGTCCTGTGGTGATTTGAAAAATAAAAATATAAATAAAACTCCCAGAGTTAAAGGGTCTCACTTTATCTCCCTGGCCCTCCGAAAGGCTGGGGCGGATGGACACGGGGCATGGGTCTGAGGCCCTCCTTCTGGCAGGCCCGGACCTTCCAGAGCAGAACCCAGGCCGACCGCTGCACGGGGGCTTGTCACCTGCCCGATGGCCAGGGGCACCCAGCCTCTGACAGCTCTTCATCCAGCCCCTCTGTGGGAGCAGATTCCTGACGCTAATTAGAAAGTAAAGTTACACACGGACTCATTTTAGAGAAATCAGCTTTATTTGGTGGAAAAGTAATGCTCGTGTAAACTAAGGAGCGCCTATACCTGGCCAAGAACGGGGCGTGCTGCAGGGCTGAGGGCAGGTCCCAGCATGGGGTGCTGAGGGGGAGAGGGTGACCCCACTTCCAGGGTAGGGGGAGGCCCAGGCAGGGGCCCACGTGGTGTGAAACCAGACTAGCAGTGCTTCCAAGGCCGCAGAGAACCCAGGGGTGCTCTGATCTAGACACACCAGGAGTGGGGTGGCCCTCAAGACCAGAGGTCAGGAGCTGGGGCTCCGGCCAGGGTCAGGGGGTGAAAGGTTGTTCTCAGAAGCCAGAGAGCAGAGAGGAGAGTGCCCTTCAGGGGCAGAAGGCAGAGGGTGGCAGGACTGTTCTCTTGAGTCGGAGGTCAGGACTGGGGTGCTGCCCTCAGCCTGCACCCCTCCCCAGGCGCCCAGGCTCTCCGAGTACAACTCCTGGTTCTGCTCCTTCCAGCGGCGGAACTTCTCTCCGGTCAGCTCGGGGTCGCTCAGCACTTCCTCCAGGGCCTGCAGCTCCTGCAGCTTTGCCTGTGGAAAGTGGGGGCTCAGCACCGGATGGGGCCAGCGCCCAGCCCAGAGCCAACCCTGCAGTCCCGCGCCTGTGATCCAGCACTGGACCATCCTGTCTGCAGGGCCCTAGGCAAGACTTTGCACCCTGGCTCAGAGCCCGACTGGAGCACGGAGCCTAGAACTTGGCAGAGTCCACGGCTCAGCCGGACTGGAGCATGGAGCCCAGAGCCGAGCTCAGCGCCGGAGCTGCACCGGAAGCCGCCCAGGCCGGAGCTGAGAGCCGCGGTCCCACGCCCTAGCCCCGCCGGCAGCCCACTCACCTTCAGTGTGCTCTGTAGCGCCCTCACGCGGTGCACGCGCTCGTTGAGCTGCGGGTCTCGGTTCCGCCGCATGAAAGAGCTCCTCCACTCTTCCTGGGTCAGGCGCTGAGGCTGGCCCAGGAGAGACACGCCCCCCTGCCTCAGCCCCTGCACCAGTCCCTCCAGGGCCCCTTCGCCGCTGTCTGTGGGGCACAAGAGAGGATGAGGACGCATCCACCCCCGCCCCGCACCGCCCCACCTCACCCGGCCTGGCCGGCTTCACTGCACCCGTGGGAGGGCAGAGGGAGGGCCGCGGGCTGCGCTGCGTGGGGGTGGCTGCCGGTGAAGTGTCTCCATGGGCTGGACTCCAAGCCCCGACAGGGCCAGGCTGCAGGCAGGGTGGAAGGAGAGGGGGCCATCAATCGGTCCGACCTGCACACCCCACCTTTCGCCCCCACAGCGCACCAGCAGTCCGGACCTGCACACCCCGCCTCTCACCCCGCAGTGCACTCTCGGTCCCACCTCCACACCCCGCCTCTTCCCCC